GGAGCATTCTAAACAGTAAAAAAATCATTATACCACAGAGAAACTGTTTTCTTAGTACAATGAGGTGACACTGGTTAATGTTGTGGGTTTGCCCAGAGACTACTGGATCTTGTGCATTTGTAGCATTTTTAATGAGCTTTTGAGAAAACTTGTGTATCAGCAGGAAAACATCAGAGCTGCTTTGCCCTGGCACCCTGGGTGGGCAGGGGGGTCTACACTTTGCTCCTCTCGCTGAGCAGAGTTGTTCCAGCAGGAGTTCCTCTTGCTCAAAATATCAGAAGCTACCCAAGTGCAACAAGCACACAGGCATCGGTGCTTTGTCCTGCAATATTTCTATTTGGAAACTGATTCTGTTCTCTTCATAACTTTTTTTTTGGAAATGCTTGTGTCTCAAACCTTTGGAAAAGTACAAGACCCTCTTTCTAATATGCCTGCACATAAAAGTAGGAAGCAGCAGATGTACTTTAAGAGGATAACCCTATTTTCTTTATGAAAACGCAAACTTGGAATTTCTTTTCCTTTGGCAAACCCATGTGCTGTAGTCCTGTAAAACTGGAACATTGTGTGAATTCCTGGAGCCAAAGAAAGGGGCAAAAATTAGGAAACGAATATGACTCTGTGTCTGGTGGTTTAGGGCCACACCTCCTTCATCTTCTTACTAGTAGGCCATAGACACTACTTATTCTCTCTTTCTTGGTTTGCTTTCGTAGGTGTGCCCAGACAGCTCAATTGGAAATTCATCCACAGAACAGTTCAGAGTTAAAACAGCCTTTTGTTGCTGCCACTGATAATCATTTGCACTACCAGCAGAAGTTGTCACCCCTAATCAGATCCATATAAGCATGGATGGCTTCCAAATGCACTGATTCATCACCAGAGCTATGATTTTTAGCAGCAATTGCACCTGGAATTGTTATTAATTTTCATATTTATCAAACAGCTGTAAATTGAGACCTCTAGGTTGCAAGTACTTGTAAGCTAAAGTCATTGAAGGATATTACACTCCAATTTCAACAGAGGCTTACCTTGATTCTGTAAAAGTTCAGTTAGGGTCTGGTCCTCAGAGGTTTTTCAGTGCCTTGGCAATCACATATTTCATCAGTGAGTTATGACTTTTGGATTTCAATGCTTTTTTGTTTTTTCCATTGCCCTGTCTACTTTTTGGTAGTGCTCAGACTGGACACAAGTAATCTGAGAGAGAGCAAGCTCTGACTTTGTTACATGGTGGGTTTGAATTGGGTCCAGGCCATAACTCTCATGTTTGGGATGTGCAATCCAAAAGACAAGCACAGTTCCTAACTTCCAGAAAATAGTGGGCTTTTTTCCTTATTCTGACCTTTAACAATCTGCATCAGTGAACAGAGCCATGTCACAGACAGCTGGTAGGAAGGCACTTGCCTCTTTTGCAGCCTGCATCTGTTGTTCCTCCTACATGGGAAGAGAGGTCCCGCCAGACCTCACATGCCAGTGTCTTAAACACAAGATTTTCCCGGTATGATGAAACGGATCTCTTTTCTGAGAAGCTCTGAGATTTCTTGTTGTTGGAAACAAAAGATTTAGCTGGAAAAAAGGATTCCACATTGGTTTGGCTATCTGTCTTCTTCAGGAGTGCTCCTAACTGTCATGGTGACAGGAGGTGATGAAAAAGAGAGTTGATCCGGTTTCTGGTGGCAGGGGATCTCATTATTCACAAAGTCCACAAGCCACAGGGAAATTATGAAGGATTTAAGGCTAGCAGGCTGAGTTGGCTAAAGGTGTTTCTTTCCTACTTGCTTTAAAGGAGGAGAGGAGGGAGAGGAAAAAGATTTAAGAGAAGAAATGATGGAAACAACAATCTGTCCAGAAGCAGAAACAGAGGCTGGTGGAAAAAGTGATGAAGTTGTGTTGAGACAGAAGGACTAAAAGGAAAACAAGCAAATGTGTGTCAGGCAGGCCAACAATTTGAACTTGAATCTTTGTTTCTCAGTTCTGATGATTATGTTTTATAGAACATATATATGCTTAATTTTTAGCACACATTTAATTCTTCAGTAGAGCATGGTTAAAATCAGAAACATTACAATTAGTGGTGAAGATATAAACAGCTTCCTTCAGTGATGGAAGGCTTTTTATACTGCTAAATGGCCTATATCAGAAACAAATAATATAACTACTGTAATTGCTTGTCTTTCTCCAAACTGGTGTTTGCATGGAACATTTTCAGCAAGGTACCTGAAATAATATTCAGGATGAACTCTAATTCTGGATTGCCTTATGTGTATGTTGCTCATGTAGTAATTATAAAGGGAGAAAACACAGTTTTTATTAGATTTCTTATAGGTGCATTTTAAGAAGCAAACGTCATATGATGCATTAGGCTATTCTTCAGAATGGGAAAAAAAAGGAGGAAGTGTCCTTCTGTTCCCCAGAGTTTTAAGAATTCATGGCTGAGACAGTTAATGCAAACATTTTTCACTTGAAATTTGGTCTCACTGTGGAGGTCTTTGTCCCTCCACAGCACACAGCCAGAATTAGAAATCTTCCTTTGGGTTGACTCAGATGGGAAAGCTCCTGTGCCCAGCTGCATGGAGCCCAGGTGCTGAAGGCTTCATTGTCAGGGAGCGGAGAGGGAATGGGTCAAAATGAAGAAACAGATGCTGTCTAGGCAGGAATTCCCACTCATTTTGTTTAGTCACCTGGCTGTCAAGGAAAGCCCATGACAACATGTTTTCAGCTCACAGTCTTTTGGTAAGATTAGCTTTGACAAATACAACACTTTGTTTCCCATGGAGAGAGGTGATGTTTGTTACTACCGAGTCGCTTAAGTTGCAGTAGTGGATTTTCTTTTTTCTTCTTCTGAAAGTATCTTTAGATGAGATAGAAGTAGTATCTGGTTAGCAAACACAAATTAAACAGCCAGTTGAAGCTTTCTTCCTTTGCCAGAGCCCTTACAGCTCTCTTTGTGCTCTCTAAGATTTTACCCAGACAGATCATGGCTTTTTCAATCCTGATGATGTGTGACAGTTGGATCTGGCTAATATCTATGCCCTTAATGAGTTATTAAAGTAGGCAGCATCATTAAGAATTTATTTTGTACCTTTTCCAGATCTTTTAATTATGAAACAGCAGTGGTACTGCTGCTAAAAAGGGCTTTGCTGCTGCTGAGTCATGGCAGGGTAGGGCTTGTGTAAGTTGTGGTACCCACACACATGCTGACACTTTGGCCTGGACATCCTTTGAGCAATTAAGTTACAGCATTCAAATTGCTGAATGTCATTTAAGGCATAATTTCCTAAAAATTGACTTTATTCTTACTTGCAAGGTTACCTTCTCGTGTATTTTGCAAGCATATACTAGAACACAACTAGTGAAGTCAAATAGTCCAATTGTTCTGTTGTTTCTAATGCTTAGAGAACGGAAACTTGTTTGTGGATAGGATAGAAATATGCCTGTTGACAGAAAGGGAGATTAATAAAAAAATGAGCCAGTAGCTGGAGGTAGACACCTGGGGGAAGAGAAGAGGGCAAACTGACCCTCCTCAGGGCTTTCGTCACGTGCTGCTCAAAGACTTTTCATGTAGCAGAGTTGGTTTCTATTCATTCAGTGAACCTTGATGGACTTTCCTTCCATTAAGTTGTCAAGTCTCTCTCGAACCCATATAAACTTTTTCTCTTTGCAGTATATCATGGAAAGGAGTCCCATCACTTAATTACACATTAAGAACCAGTTTTTAACAAAGCTGTTATGAATCAATGCACCCTGGCTCTTGTCATTCCTGGTTTCCTTCTCTATTAGGTGTACTCTTACCCAAGAATCAGTCTTCACTGTAGAAAGTAAAGTTTGCACAACAATCTGCCTGACAAACAGCATCTTTGTTCATTCTTCACTTTTGGACTCAAATTTCCAAAGCCATTTCATGTCATATATAAACATTTTTGAAAAGTTCTAAAACCTCTCTCCTCCAAAATTGCAGACTTTGTTGTAAATGGTCACTTACTACTTTTTTCTCACTTTTTAATTAAGAGAAAGTGCTCACTGGGTCAATTCCAGAGCACAGACAACACTTTTGGAGATATAACTAAGTTAGGAAATAAACACCTTTTTTTTTTTTTTAACTATTCCAGGTAAGTACTTCCATTTGATATACTTGACATTTATCATGTTTTGTCTCCTCTGTACAGCACCCTGGAAATCCTCAGTTTCACAAATTATTGTCTCAGGTTACTACAGGCCAGGGCAAAGTAAGGAAGAAAAGCAGAATGAGAGTCTCCTCTTGTCAACCCTTTAACACTGTGTATGTATCTCCAGGCTTCCTCTTCCTTTTTCAGTTGCTGCCTGTTCTGATAAGACTTGTAAAGCCAAAACCTTTATGTCTTTAGGTCACATTTCTACCCCAAATGCCCACTCATTCCACTGTTGAATATTAAAAAAGACAGTCACCCTTTTCTGGTTGAAGTGTTGTGTTTCTCAAACTCCTACCTTGTGAATTTAGCAGCTATTTGTTTCAGCTATTTTCTTTTTCATTCCATCCTATTCTATTACACCTGCTTATTTTCATTCACTATTTTGTCTGTTAAATGACAGATTACTTTATTAATGTAATTTTACTACCACATGTGATGCAATATTTTAATGAAAGTTTATTAGAGTGCCTAGCTAATGCTGAAGATTACTCATTACATGAGTAATGTTTTAATAATCTCCAAAACATAGAATTAATAGGGAAAATCACAGTGTTGATAAGGAAGGGCTGATACTGGAAAGCTGTGTCCCTGTTGAACCAAAGCATTTAAAGCATGTGCTGAAATTGCATTGTAACTTGAATGCTATATTGGCCAGGGGGTAACAATTGACTTAATAGTACAAAGTCAGATAAAATGTTGTGCTGAACTGGGGACACTAAAATTGACTTTCCTCACTAAAAGGATGAAACATCCAGTGCCTAATTTTATGCTATGTCAGTGATTAAAAATGCAAATGAAAATAGTATTCTTGTCGTATGATTTTTGTTTTCTCTCCAGGGATGACTTTGCCAGTTGGATCAGTCTACATTATTTAACAGTGGGAAGAGGCAGCCTGATGTTTGATTCAGAGAGATGATGATGAATTAAGATGTTGCAATATGACTTTCAATGCAGAATACAAGGTAGGTTCAATAAAAAGGAACATTTAATGTTTTATCTCAAAAGACATTAAGTTCAATTTAATTTTTAGGCTTTTATTTTTGTATAGTTTCATTTAGATAGACAAAACCATCTATGCTAATTTTTAGGAGTGTTAAATTTCAAATACAGCTCACTGATCTTGAAAGACTCAATAAAATCAATAGAACAATTTCTGGTGACAAACCCACATCTGCCATTTTTTCCACAATGGTCACTGACATATAATCTCTTTTGTTGCCTTACCAAAAAACAAAACAAAACAAAACAAAATAAAAATTAAGCAGCAAACTTAATAGAAATTTATGTCATCAGAATAATTTTAAAATCAGCTTTTTAAAATTGGGCTTAATGTAATTGTTATATTTTTAGCTGAAACACCATGTTTATTTATATTTCCTATTCCCCCTTGGAGGCTAGATTTCTCGCTCTCATTGATTCTGGTCAATTACTTGGATTTGGCCAGGACTCAGGTTGTGCACTGTTACTGAGTCATCCAATATGTATCAACTATTTATCTGCCTCTGTGAGCTGTGTAATGTTTGCTTTGATCATATTTGAGATCCACACAGTCTTAAGTCTAGTTCCCTTCACCATGCCTTTAAGATACAGCAGCTTTATCTTTTACTGAGGTACAGAGAGATTTAAGTCCAAGGTCATGCATAGTCTGTAGCAAATCAAAATATCGAAGTCTGGTCTAAATCCAAAGGCAGTGCACTAAGCACCAGATCCTCTTACGTCAAGAAGGAAGAATTGACAAATTTTTACCCAATACAAATAAATGTATTAAAAGCTGACATGTAATTTTAATGGGAGATTGATTTATTTGCATTAACTAGTCTGGAGAAAGATCAGGAGAGAGAGACCTTATCACACTCCGCAACTACCTGAAAGGAGGTTGTAGAGAGGTGGGAGTTGGTGTCTCCTCCCAGGAGAGTGACAGGCCAAGAGGAAATGGCCTCAAAGTTGTGCCAGGGGAGGCTTAGATTGGATTTTAGGAAAAACTTTTTCACTGAAGGGGTTGTCAGGCGTTAGGACAGCCTGTGCAGAGAAGTGGTGGAGTATGAAGGTATTTAAGATGGGTAGATGTGGCACTCAGAAATATGGTTTACTGGTGGACTTAGCAGTGCTTTGTTAATGGTTGAACTTGATGATCTTAAAGGTTTTCAACCTAAACAATTCTATGTTTCTAAATGGTTTTAATGCTTGTGAAAGGTGACAAGCTGATTATCTGTGAGATGCAGCAATCCTATATTCATTAACAGACACAAAAATTTACATTGATATAGGTATTGAAAGCTTGTGTAGGCTTGAAAGTTATATTTCTCTACAAAAATGAGAGTTCATAGTCTGTACTTTGATCCTTTGGTTGCCTGAATGCTTGCATTACTATGAATAGAGGAAACATGCTATTGGATTCTTTATGAGAGTCTGGTCCATCTTCCCCTATCACAAATCTGAGGGTTTTCTCACTTTCACAGTAAGTCCAATGTTTCCTCTGTCTGTGCCATTAGGCCCCTTCACATTCTCCAAAGGCCTGCAATGCTGTTAACTATTTCTCATAGCTCCTCACAACTGGCTGGGCTGGAGACAGTTCTTGCTGCAACTCACTTGTTTCTAGGTATGTGCTCATGTTAACCAGCACATGTGTGCTGACTGAGTCAGTTTCACTTGCCTCTTTTTTTCTTATAAAACTGAAATAACTTGCCAATTAACTATTGAAAAATGCATTCTATTGTCAATATATAGATTTAGGACACTATCTTCTTTATGCTACTTTGGTATAGATGCACTATACATAGGGTGCTCTACTACTATTACCTGTAGTTTAAAATTATTTACTCTTTGCAATTCTTATGCATAATTAATTTTAAATATATGTCTTTGCTGCCCTTTCCAGTTCTCTAAACATAGTCCCCATGAGTATAACATCACTTCTAGTCATCCTGTCGTTTGGATTTATGCATATGTTATCTGAAATGATTTACGAATTTTCAGAGGAATGTTGTTTCCATCTTCTTATCAAGGCCTTGGTCCTGCCTTGTTAAAGACAATAGTAGTACCATTTTCTTCACTAAGAACAATTTCTAAAATACAATAACTTCTGTAACTTGTGGTTTAAGATGTCTGTATAGACATGCACATTTGGGAACAGCTCTTTAGGCTGTTTAAATTGTGTTTCATCATACTAAGATAATAGTTGAAGAATTATTATTGCTTATAATTGCCGTATGTTTGTGTCTGGTTCTTTTGGTCAGCATTTATACTGTAGGTGGTACTCAGGAGAATTTTTTACAAGCAGAAACTGCAGTTTCATGACTGTTGCCCTTGCTCAGCATCAACTAGGCAGTCCTCTTGAAATCCATTTCTTCCAGAGGATTAAGTTGCACTTTGCCGTAAAAAGCTGAAATTGAGTCCAAATAATCCAAATTAACTGAATAGACTGAAGATGTAGACACTGACTTAAAAGATAATTTGGGTATCTGCACAGCCCTAGTCAGAAGGGAGCTGGCATGAATATGTGCCACTTCATTTATGCAGTGAACACTGGGTCAAGTCAGAGGAGTTCCTATGGCTTTCTCTAGCACAGGCCCAGCCAGACCAAGCTATTAGCTTCCTGTGAAAGCCTGGAAATGTATCTTTTGTTTGAAAATAGCCTGAGAGTTGCTGGAATGCTAAGGATGTTTAATTATTTAAAGATGCTTAAGCAAGACAGTTATCTAAATATGCATGTGGGGAGGAGGGAAAGAAGAGTAATGACTGCAGGTTTTGACCTAATATACTTAGCCTGGGCTTTCAATTTTTACATATATATTGCTGTCTTTTGTTGCCTTTCTGCAGTAATTGGTGATTGTGAACCAGAGGATAAACTTGAAACCATATATTAGAAAGCTTTAATAGGACAATTTCTAGTCACCCATTTGAATATAATTTGAATACTGGCTGTGCCAGAGCCTGAAAGGCTTTTATGTTGCTTGTCTCCAAGTCTGACAGAAGATTTACTTGCCCTTGAGTCCATCTAATCAAATCATACTTTATCACTTATAAAGTAGATGCTATGAAACATACTTTACTCTTTAATAACCACATTAGACTTCATGACCACCAAAGGCAATTATCTGTCCTGTATTAAATAATATAAACATGTGCTTTTCATATCAACTTATTACCTACTTTCGTTTTCTGCTGTGGTTATACCCAGATGAGGAATTGTGTAAGTCTGCCATGAGTTCAGCAAGTGCTAACGTAACCCAAGTCTTTGTTGAAAGACATTATTTATTCTATCAATATTTAATGTGGACCAACCACTGACCTGCATAATTTGATAGAGATGGGTGAGCTGCTCCCTGAACACCTCTACTGCTCTCATGCTTTCTTCACTTTTTAGAAGTGATGCAAGAAAATAAACATCAAGCTCTGTGTTCTGGAAAAAAATGTGAAACAATTAGTACTTGGTATCGCACATATATTTTCCTGTCCTTTTTCCTGAAATTCTTTTTTGGCTCATCAGTTTCTCTTAGCTGATTGGATGTCCGAGGCCTCTACTGGCACACCAACGTTGGTTACCAGCACACAACATGTGACATACTTTCTCAGACACACATTAGCTTCTGCTGGGATTTGTGGTTCTTCCCCCAGTGAGCCCCTAGCAGACATCAAGTTATTCGTGATAAGCGTTGGGATGAGACTAGGTCAGTTTGCTCTTGGTAGCATTACTCCTGCTTAGCCTTATCCATGTTTTGTTGGCTCTAAATGCTGAGGCAGCTTCTCAGTCTGTTATGGCAGCTCTTTAAGAGCATCATTTGCAGTTATTACTCTAAGTACACTGAGATTATGTTTATTTCTCTGAACTAGAGTTAACCCTAATATTATTCAAAACAAATTCCATGAAGTCATCATTCATGCTGCTTTGCCTAAATGTCCTTTTTCGCAGGTATGTTAATCATCTTGCATTATATGATTCAGTTTGTGATCTAAAAATGCTATTTGACCCTTTCTTTCTCATGTCAATGCCCTACATCTGTTCTTGGAAATTCAGTAGCATAATTTCCACTGCAGATACTTGTTCCTTTCTCTGTTGACTGTATGTGTGGGTGATAGGAGTATGAGAAAAAAATATTTAAATGCCATAAACCATATAGCCATGTGACAGGTTATTTTATCTTGTCCCTTTGCTGTCCTCTCCATTTGGTCTCTGCTTCGGGGGTGTCTCCACAACACTGAAATAGGACCTGCCATTAAAAATTACAACAGGCAAGATCATTTCTTTTCTCTGCGATGTGAAATTCTCGCAGATACTGATTGCCGCTTTGCAGATCCTGTGAAGGGGATAGGATTCTCTCAAGGGCTGTTAAATACAAGCATTTTTATGTCAAGGGTAATTTTTAAAGTCCAGGATATTATAGTGTTCTCTCCCACAGGAAAGAGAGAACGTTTTTTTTCAATGTGATTAACACTTTCAGTTCCCTGAAAGATTGAGATCACAGACCTGAAGACATAATACTTTTTAGCATGGAAGAACTGATTTAATTTGTAAACAACTTAATGACTTTTAGTGAGCTCTTTATAGCAGGAGTCCAGATGCCAAAATCCAGTGCAGTAAAACCATGAAGTAATTTGCCGAAAATATTTTTTAGGAATTTCTGAAGGAGATACTAAAGTCTTTAAATGGTAAGGATTTAAGAAGAACTGTATTACGCACAAGTGGTCTGACACTCCTGTGTAATCTAAGTGTTATAGATAAAAAGAAAACTCAATTATATTTCTCCTCTTTATCTCATTTCATATAACCTATATTACAGAATTGCAGAATCACACAGAATCTCAGAATATGCTGAGTTGGAAGGGACCCTCAAAGATCATCAAGTCCAGCACTGGATCACCCCCAAGAGTCACACTATGTGCCCAAGAGTATCATCCAAATATTTCTTGAACTCTGCCAGACTTGGTACTGTGACCACTTCCTTGGGGAGCCTGTTCCAGT